AAACTACTTTCGCACACATGCTCTTAGTGAGAATGGTAGTTTTACGATTATATGCACAAAATAAAAACAGGACTTAGAATAAAATGATAAATGCTTATAGGGTGAAGTTTAGCCTGAAACGCGAAAGAACTGCGAAGATTTGCTAACGTAAAAACATCAAGGAAAAAATTATAAAAAGCGGGAATACAGGGAATATAGATGGGAACTGGAAAAAGGCGTAGAAAAGTAAAGGCGACCTCCCACCTGATGATGCAACTAGTACCTAAGCCAGAATAGCATTTCCAGAGCAAACAAAGCAAAAAACGGCTTAAAAAACGCTGTTTTTAAAACAGATTTCAAGATTATTCTTTTGAAGCAGAACCATGTTTTTTTCATCCAGTGCTCATCTTTCAAATGTAATTTTTTTTTTATTTAAGTATTTTACTGTTAACAGTTGAATTTTTGATTTCTAAAATGCGTTCTTCAACAGATCCCGTAACAAAAGTCCGGAAGCTTCGGATGCAAGTGAAGTCTTGAATCTACGGTTTTCTTCGCTCTATCAGATGGAGCTGAAATTTTTTTGTTGAATTTTTGTTGTTTGTTTTGAAGTTTGAAGATTCAGTTGGTTTGGCTTGAATCTGCATTTAATACTTCTTTCCAAAGTTGAATTTGCTTCATTTGTTGCAAACTGGCACTTAACCAACGTACGATGAAATGAGCCAATTGCAAAGCAAATGTCAACTGCTTCAGAAAGGAAAATTAAACGAAAACGAGTTATTTGTTCAATTAGCACAAAACCGTTTAAAATTGTGACGTTTTTCGGACTTGTAGGCCCTGTTTTCATTGGGATTCCAACTTTCCATTACTTTTTTCTTCGGTTCAAATGCATTACCCAAAATAACGATTTGGTCAAAATTAGTGCCTCATTGCATCGAAGTAAACGAATATTTTCAACAGTTGGGGATTCTTGAAATTTATAATAAATGAAGAAAGAAAAGTTTCGACAGAAGAATCAGCATCATTTTGACCACCGAGACCCACTTCTTGTGCAGAAGAATCTGGTTTGCTATCAACTTTGGCAGAATCAGAATCTTTAAAAAATTCTACAGCAAAGTTTCTAAAAAAAATTATCTCTGTTATTAGATTCTATATTGTCATTGAGATTTTTAAATATTTTTTTCCGTGGATTTCCGTCATCTTGTTCCTCCAGATCCACGGATGGAGCTTCTGTTCAGTTCAGAAATCCACATCTAAAGAAAGTTTATCCAAAAAGCGCAATATTTATCTGAGGCTGTTGTAGTTATGCCCTTAATTCCATTTAACCTATTTTTTGACTAGCGTCCATATTTCTGCCAACAATTCAAATTTAATTTTTTTTCTCAAGATTAATTAGTTCTAAAAACTCGCATAAAATGATGGGGCATTATATTTTTCATCGATCGTCAAATGCTAAGCGGAAAAATGCTGTTTTTAAAGATGATCTCTAAGATCGCGCAAATCCGCCTGAAGAACTGATGCAAATTTTAAAGAATTTGGAAAGAAACCTGAAGAATGGAATGTTTCGTCTTTTGGTATTGGGCGGCATCAATCAAGTTGTGGCTTTTAAAATAATAAAAGTAACTGTTTTTAGACATAGAGAGCTAAAAATGGACTTCAGATAAAAGAAAATATTTAAGTTGATCCTTCTCTAAGCTGACAAAGCAACTTTGAAAAGCAACCTTTTGTAAAAAATTACTACACGAAATCATCAAACACTTAGATACAAACCATTTTATGAATCAAACCAATAACGTAAATTGATAGCTTTTGACTTCAGTTATTAACACTTTTATTGGTACAAACGAACTGAATGTTAATTATTGCTTTGAAACGCTTTGTCCCCGTTTGGGATCATGAAAGCATTCTTGTGCTTGGTATCCAGTTAATTACAAGGGCCCCTCTTAATAAGATGCCTCGACGAGAAAGGGCAAATCTGTGAAACTAATCAAAATTCTGAATTAACGGACATAATTAAAAATTTTAGGGCCGCGAAACGAGCAGTGATTTTTCTTTGCCCGTTCCAGGTAAAAATTCCTGAGCAGAGCTTTGTCCTTGTAAGCGCAGAGGTGGAGGAATATCAAGAATTTTCCTCTACAATCGCCTATCCAGTGCTATTATAAAAAAGTCCCTAGTAAATGCAAATAGGTTATTGGGACTTGAGACGGAGATAAGAACTCGCATTAACGGTTTTGCATATATTAATCGTCATCAGATCATCTTGTTGATTAAAGCGAAATTCTGATTGTTTGTTTGAGTTAAACGCATTCTGGCAAAGTTGAAACTGTTGAGCTTCCCGATGGTTTTAGAATGCTAAAGCGGTTTTCTCCAGAGTCATGGGAAGACATTATTTTTGTCGCGCCCCTGACACGCTAGTCCTTTCAAAACTTTCCTAATTTTTCTTTGGCACTTTTCCCAAGTTTATTAATCTCCCTGGAAAGAAAGCATCTGGACGGGAATTTTTTACTTTATATATTGCCATCCTGGGTACTCCATCAATTTATTTTAACTTTTATTATTGTTGGACGTCATATCTTGGGCTGCTACAGAGATTTCCGAAAAGTGTCTTCTGTGCCGCAAACTTTTTGCAAACATTACCATTCGCCAGTACGAGCGAACATAATTTGTCAACTTTTACCAAATCGAACGCAATAATAAGTTGGCTTGCTTTTAATTTAGACACAATAATTATGGGCGAAAGAAGGTTGCCTGATCGAATTCAATGCGAACTAGTGCAATCGTATTAGTGCGTTATTTTCAGTTTTCAACAAATGGAATTTTTAATTTAGCCTTGCCTGATGTGACGTGACTGGCCAACTAAAAGGCGTATGTTTGGTCAAGATAATTGCGAAATTATTTGCATTGACACCGTTTCAATTTAGTAATTTGGTTTATTTTTGATCAGTTTGTTAATTGATGAAACAGGACACATTTGCGAATATCGACAAGTGTCTTAAAATCTGAAGAACAAAAAAGATAAATAGGAGAAACCAAACGTATGCGCGAGGCAAACTGATTAAGTATTTTATATATATTATATACAGGGTTATTCACGCTATACGGCACGGAAGTTTGCG